AGCCTACAGGAGCTGAAGCTGTAGGCACTGCAGTCTCAAGCACGCCCCCGCCCAGTGTGGCTTGAGGAGCTGGTGGGTGAGCTGCCCAGGCTTGACATGCTGCAGCTGTCGCAAACAGGATTGGAGACACTGTCTGCTGCTGCTTTCGGGGGCCTAGGCAGTCTCCAGGTCTTAGTACTAGACAGGGAGGAAGACCTTATGCTGGATGACAGCCTCCAGGAGCACAGTCCTCGGATGCCCCAGTACATCTATATTCTGACTTCATCCTTGGCCTGCCAGTGTGCCAATGCCTGAGTGGGGCCCTGGCTTTAGCAGTCCCCCAGAACATACATACATGTAGTATCACAGCAGCTGTGCCATGCAGAAGCTGGGGGCCACTCAAAGAATCTCCTTTTCCCTTTTCTCTGGAGCCACTGCCCCAAGACTTCGGGGTTGGAGCTCTTTTTGGGCAGCTCTGCCCTGCTGCTTCTGCTGGTCTCCTTGCCCTTCCTAAAGGAGGCCAGGAACTCCTGGATTATCTATCTCCAGGTCTTGATCAGGGTTTGTTTCCAGAGTCTGAGGAGTTGGAAGGGTGAAGGCAAGAGGTTCCTTTATGATGTGTTTGTGTCCCACTGCAGGCAAGACCAGGGCTGGATGGTGCAGGAGCTGCTGCCTTTTCTAGAGGGCTGCTCTTCAGCTGGCCAGGGGCTGTGCCTCTGCCTCCCTAAGCATGATTTTGAGCCAGGCAAGGATGTGGCTGGCAATACAGTAGACAGCATGGCGGGCAGCCGGGTCACACTCTGTGTGCTGAGTCACCAGGCCCTGCACACCTCCTGCTGATGCCTGGAGCTCCGCCTGGCCACCTCCTTTCTGCTGGCTACCCCGCCCCCGCCCCCCCAGGGCTACTGCTGGTCTTCCTGGAGCCCATCTTATGCCACCAGCTCCCCTGCTACCACAGATTGGCCTGATTGCTCTGCCAAAGACTATTGTATGTGGCCCAAGGAAGATGAAAGAAAGAATGACTTCTGGGCTTGGTTAGGGAGCAGTCTGGAGCAGCCTAGAATAGGGTAGAATGGGGTGCATGTGTGTTGGAAGGTGGGGGTAAGAAAAGCAAGCCAGCTTGGCAGGGAGATAGTGAGTATGTGTGGGCTGTGAGACTGAATTCAGTTTTCAGTAGAAGGTGGGGCTACTGTGTGTGCAAGGGAGGATCAAATAGGAACACAGGTCTTGGGAAGGCTCTGGAGGCTGAATGAGAAAATCTGGGAGATGGCAGGTAGCCATGTGGTTTGCAATGTAATCTCAAGATCTCCAAATCCTCAATAAATGTACTAAATCCATGAAATACTTGGCTTGATTGATTTTTTTTTTTTCTTTTTGAGACACAGTTTTGCTCTTGTTGCCCAGGCTGGAGGCCAATGAGGCAGAAGGTGAAAGGGTTGGATTCACAGAAACTGTAGCCCAGAGGAAATAAGGTTGGAAATTCATGGAGAGAGAGGGCAAAGAGAGAGGCCTTTGGCCAGTCCTAAGCTGTGGAATGGGGTCCAGGCCAAGTTCAACCAGATCTTCAAGGGGCCAAGGGGCCCCTTTTGCCATGTGGGTTATAGAGGTACTGGCAGCTAAGGATCAAAAAGCTGGGATGCGGCCAGGCGCGGTGGCTCACGCCTGTAATCCCAACACTTTGGGCGGCTGAGGTGGGCTAGTCAGGAGTTCAAGACTAGCCTGGCCAAGATGGTGAAACCCCATCTCTACTAAAAATACAAAAAAATTAGCCGGGCATGATGGCACGCACCTGTAATCCCAGCTACTCCAGACGCTGAGGCAGAGAATTGCTTAAACCTGGAGGGGCGGAGGTTGCAGTGAGCTGAGATCGCGCCACTGCGCTCCAGCTTGGGTGACAGAGCGAGACTCCGTCTCAGGGAAAAAAAAAAAAAAAAAAAAAAAAAAAGCTGGGATGCTGCCCAGGAGACAATAGACTGATTGCCTGTTCCCTCAATAAAAACCTGAAAGCCTGTTCCCATCTATCTCCAGTTAAGCCTCATAGCAACACTGGGAGGAGGAGCCTACCCCCTTGCCACTCTGTACTCTGACTATGCTAGACTACCTGTAGGTCCCAGGACACCATCACACCTTTTGCCTCTGGGCCTTTGCATATGCTGTTCCTGCACTGAAAAATACCTTTTCCCTGGAGAACTCCTAAGAATTATTTAAGATGCAGTTCAGCCATCATTTTCTTCAGAAGCCTTTCCTGATCTTCCAGCCTAGGTAGCAGTTGCCTCTGCGCTCCCACAATTTCCTGCCCCTCCTTTTCTCAAAGGACTAATCACAGGTCTGAAAGCAATAGAAGCGGTCTCCAAAGCTGAGTGCACGAGATAATCATACTAGGGTTGCAAAGAAACTGTTATACCTTCTATTTCTATTTTTTTTTAAATCTCACTTTATTCTGAAGCTAGACTGCCTGCTTTTCTAGCCATGTGCCTTTAGCATGTTATTTAACCTCTCTATACCATAGTTTCCTTTTCTGTAATATGGGATAGTATTAGACTCTCCCTCAAAGGGTTTTGGATGTATTAAATGAGTTAATACATATAAAGCACTGAGAGCAGGACCTAATAATGCATTGCAAATGTTCAAGGAAAGTTAGCTATTACAGGCACATCATTTACAAGTAAATAAATACACGTATGTTGGGAGTGTGTGCTCAACTTGAAAACTCGAAAAGGCTTCACTCATAGGAGCGCTCTATTGGGAAAGTTTAGAGATCAGGCCCTGGGCTGAGAGACGAGGTTTGCTTCATCTCTGCATCCTTAGGGCCTAGTGTCTGCCCAAACCAGAGAGAATGCTGGTAGACAAATGCAGACAGAATGCTTGCAAACCAAATCCTGATGGGTGCTGAACCAGAGAGAATTTGGAACAGGTTCAGGCTCTGTTGCTTATTTCTACATGGCACTAAAGGGCACTTGGCCCCTTGGGGCCTTCCTTAGTTTTCTTCTTCTGGAGAATGCCAGACTTTAATTAGACAAAGGCTAAGGGAAACCACAGAATAATTCGAGGCTGGATTTAGGGCGAGGTGCGCCCTCTTGTGTCCTAATGGTGTCCTCTCCTCTCTCTGCACACTGGCCTCTCTTCTTCCTCTTAGGGCAGATGATGCTGAAGTGGACACGTCCTCACCTGACCCTGCAAAGCTGCCTCCCCAGCTTCAGATCCTGACACTCTCTCAAATGTTTCCGGTTCCCTTGACACCCCACACTGTTGCACTGTCCCTCCCCATCTCAAACCCTCTTACTTCCATATACGGTCTCTTCCTCATGCAGTGTAGGACCTTTGGAGTCACATGCCCACGGGGTGACAAATCCCAGCCTTGGTTCTTATTGGCTCTGTGATCTTGAGCAGGTCACTTCATTTCTCTAAGTCTCATTCCCTCTTTGTAAAGCGGAGCAAGCAATACCAATCTCATAGGGCTACTGTGAGACTTCGACACCAAGGAGTATTTACAGGTTGTTATTATGTTTACTGAGTAAAATCACGTGAGTTATTACTACAAATAAGTTGGAACATGTTTCACAGAGAAGGAATTTAAACTAGATCATTAAAACTAAGAATTCTCCTATTTTAATACTAGCCAACATGCATTGAGCCTTTACCAGATGCTAGGTATTGTCAATTTTCCCTAAGCCACATAACAATTGTGTATACAATTTGTATACAATACAAATAATAGCTAATGATTAAGTATTTTATTGTATTTTCTATTTTTTAAAATAGAGACGAGGTCTCACTATGCTGCCCAGGCTGGTCTCGAACTCCTGGATTCAAGCGATCTTTCCGCCTCAGCCTCCCAGAGTGCTGGGATTACAGGCACAAGCCACCGTGCCTGGACTAGCTAATGATTATTAAACACTTTCTGTGTATCAGACACGTGTCACGCTCTTTACATACCCTCTCCCATTTATTCCTCTCAACAACCCTCTCAGGAAGAGGCAAGCATTATCATTCCCATTTTACAGATGGGAAAATGGAGGCACAAAGAAGCTAAGTAATTTGCCCAAGGTTTCACACTAGCGAGTGGTAAGACCTGCATCCTTCATTTGAAAGTAAGAACTTTCAGACACAAGCAGCTTGACTTCAGAGACTTTTACCTAAATCGTCTCATTTAACCTACACAACACCCTGTGATGTAAATTCTCTTACATTACTTGCATTTTATAGATGAAAATTCCAAAGACAACATAGATGCAGTAGTTTGTTCAAGGCCATATAGCTGGGAAGTAGTTGAGCTGGGATTTGGATCTGTGTCTGACTACAAAGCCCACATTCTCAACACCATATTAGATTGTTCATGCCCCAAAGTATTCACAGTGGTACAGAGCAAACGCATTTATATGAGGATTATTCTGTAATAATGATTAACATTCTTCCAACACCTACAAAGTGCCAAGCTCTGTACTAACTGATTTACATAATAATAGCTAACAATCGTTGTGCATTATTAGGAGCCAGGCCCTGAGCTAATCGTTTTAGGTGTATTAGCTCACTGAAGGTTCACAAAACCCTGTGACATGGATGTCATTACTACCCTCATTTTAAGGGTGAAGAGAACGAGGTTCAGAATTCTTCCAAAGGCACACAACTTAGCTGTAAGCTGGAAATTGAAGCTACAACTGTCCAGTTCTCTCCTGCTTATAGGGCTGGTCACCTCTAGTCACTCTCTCTTCTTATTTCTTATTCTGTCTGCTTTGATCTCTCGGGGTCCGAGGCTCTCACTTCGACTCCTCAATAGAACCCGGCCCCCTTCTGCTCGAGTGCCCTCCCATTGGGCAGTGCTGTTATTCGGGAGCCTATGGAAAAGGCCGGGATCGCAACAGGTCCCGCCCCCATGTGTCGCGCCCATTCCGACTTGTTCTAGTGCCAGGGTCCGTGAGAAGATGACATATCTATTGGCTGAAGACGTCTGAAAGGCAGCAAACGGAGGGGGCCGCCCACCGGCGCTCGCGCGGTTCCTTCTGGGAATTGTGGTCTCAGACGTTCCATTCCCGGGGTGGCGCCGCTCGGACTCCGCGTCCCAGCATTCCCTGCACCAGCCCGGGAGCACTTCCGCCCTGTTGTGAAGTGGGTGTCTCGGTGGGTGAGTCCGGGTGGCGGGGCGGGGGCAGCTGAGACGCAGGCTCTGGGCTGGAGACTTAGGAGGTGGTGGTGACACAGGGGACTGGGGAAGGTGAGAGTGGAGAAAGAAGCTTATATGTGGGGGTGGAGGGTGAGGGACGGTCAGAGGATGTAGCGGCCGGAGATGGGAAGGGTCATACAGGGGTCGGGGATGAGGAGGCGACAGAGGGCCCTGGGAATGAGGAGGGCCTTAGAAAGGTCTGAAGGTAGGGGGTTGAGGGAGGTTTTGGAGGTGGGAGAGCCACAGAAAGGTCTGGAGACCACAGAGGAAAGGATAGAGGGTCTGGGGCCCTGGCAAGAAGTGAAGAGGGCCTGAGCTTGAAGCCTGACCTTAAAAATAGTGTTTCAATCTCAACCTTCCCGTCTAGAACAAGCATATCTAATTTGTTACCTCCCTAATGATTGTTACCTCTGGAACCCAGTGGATGGGACTGGCTATTGTGTTCTGCCCCAAACCTGCACTTCTTTCCTTATGCCTTATGGAAGTCACTGGCACCATCATCCCATTTACCTACCTACCTACCTACCTACCTACCTACCAACCTACCTACCTACCTACCTACCTACCTACTTACCCTCTGATTCCTCTTGCATTCTTCCACGTCCAAGGATCTTCCGGTCTTTCAATTTCTTTAATTTATTTTCAGTCGGCCTCTTGTAGGGTTTTTGCAGAAGCCTTTTCAGTTTCCCAGCATGAACACACACATTGCACCTAGTGTTATCTGTTTAACCTACAAATCTGATTATGCCTTCTGCTTGAAAACTTTCATTGCCTCCCATAACCTGTAAAGTCCAAACACATTGTCCTTCATAAACTCCTTTTGCAGCCTAATCTTCATGCACCTCACACTCCAGGGCTGTCAAGATTTTCCTCATTTCCTGGGTAGGCCATTTGGTTTTCTGTCATTATAAACGCTGTTCTCTCAGCTTAGAATATTCTCTCCTTGTCCCTCACCTTCTTTGCCAAGAGAACTACTTTAACTTAAAAAAAAAAAATTCAACTCTTACTTTGCTCAATTTCCTTAAGCAAGTTAAGTCACCCCCAACCCTCAGCTTCCATAAATTCTCCTATTACCACATTTGATCATAATTATCTGTGACTTGTGTGTCTCTTCCACTAGACTGTGAACATCTCCAGGACAAGAACAGTGTCTCAGTCACCTCTGTTTCCCCATTGCCCAGTCTAGAGCAGTAAACACTTGATGTAAAGCAGTAAATACTTGATGTATGTGTGAATGAAGACCATGCAGGGTAAGCTTTGCTATGCCAGCCTTGAAGACTTCTATTTCCAGTGGATTTCCAGGGCAGGAGCTTTAGTCTTCCCCTGCCTGGCAGGGCTATCTGCTGGAAGCTGAAGCTGATTCATTGCCAATGGGAGTTTAAGCCAGGGGTGACAAATACATGGAATGTGTGCTGCCAGTGCCCCTTCCTGTGTCCCTGGCAGTCATGGCTAATTGGTTGGTTCACAGCACATATTCACACAGTACTCAGAGCCCTCAGCACACTACTCTAGGCAGCCACTTCCAGTTGATTGAAGTTTCTGCTTTAAATGAAACCTATTTGCTCTCCCTAACTTAAGCCCTTATGTGTGAGGTCTGGTCAGCCTGCTTTAAGCCATAGCTTGGACTGTCAGCCAGATGGGCCTGACAGCCTTTGAGAGTACCCAGTTTTTTCTCTTTGGAGGTCGAAGACCAGTCTTGGCCTTTCCCATGGAACTAGAGAGCATCTTCTCTTCCCTTTTCACTGAGTGGGCTCCTCATGACACATTCATACTTACTACCCTAGGAGTCAAGATGCCCCTCAGCTTCCCTGTGTGTGTAAAGAGATCTTGATTTTGATGGCAGTCAGCACTTATCCCTCATGACCTGGGAGCCTCTGTACTCTTTCTAGGTCTTTGTGGATAGTGAAAGAGAGCTTTGAGATCACTTAGCTGAAGCTAAGTGGCAAAGCGACAGCCCATGCTGAATGAAGTCCACCATCATGCTTTATTTAATCTCGTAGTGTGTGAAATAATTTTGAGTTGCTTGCCAACATTTAAAAATCCAGAGTGCTAGCTTCTTTTGGAAAAACTAGCAGGCCTAGGAATATTCTGGGCATATGTTCCCCTGGCACTCTATAGTTGGCTGTAGTGCCCACCCAGTTCACTTCAGTCATTGACTCATTTACATTGCTAGGTCCTTATACCCATTTAAACTTGTAGCCACTGACTCTAGTTTCCTTCCCCCTTGCTCTACCCCGTCATACTAATTAAGGAACCTAGGGCAGCTGGTGAGTAGGATCAGGCTGTAAGCTGCAGCCTAACTAGGCAGCCACAGGGGCTACATGACTTGTCCAAAGTAACACAGCTGATTAGTGGCAGGAGTGGAATTAGAACCCCAGTCTGCTCACACCTGCCTTAACGTTCTTTCCACTCTCATCTTAGGAGTTTGGATGACTAGCACATATAGAGGAGGCTATAGGACGTGGTTAAGAAAAATGATTAGAGAAAAGGGATCTGGGCTTAGACCCTAACTCTGCCACTTGCTAGTTGTGTAACCTTAAGTGAATCTTCATAAACACTCAGTTTCCCTTTAGATAATTGAGGATATAGTACAGTCATACCTTAACAGATAATGATATTCTAAGGGTGAAAATCACTTTAGCTAAAAATTACAGTTAGCTTGAAAATCCTTTGGCAAGGAGCCATTTCAGAAACGAACACGCTGCCTTTCAATAAATAAACTAATCAGCACAGCCGGGCTTCTTGTTTGAACATTAGATGAGAATTGGCTTGTGTTAGGGACTGTGTAATATGAAAGACACTTTACTCACCCTCAGTGGAAAGAGAAGCACGAGGGAATCAAGACCAACCTGGTGAATAGCAAAGTCCTTGGTGCCATCACCACATGCTTATTCTCGAACAGATAGTGAACGGAACTGTCTGCACTATTTAAATTATGCTGTTTCTCTCTTTCTTTCTTTTTTTTTTTCTTTTTCCCGAGACGGAGTCTTGCTCTGTTGCCCAGGCTGGAGTGCAGTGGCTTGATCTCAGCTCATTACAACCTCCGCCTCCTGGGTTTAAGCAGTTCTCTTGCCTCAGCCTCCCAAGTAGCTGGGATTACAGGTGCGAGCCACCATGCTCAGCTATTTTTTTTTTTTAATTTTTTTTATTTTTAGTAGGGATGGGGTTTCACCATGTTGGCCAGGCTGGTCTTGAACTCCTGACCTTGTGATCCACCTGCCTCAGCCTCCCAAAGTGCTGGGATTACAGGTGTGAGCCACCACGCCCAACTCTCTTTCTTTCTGATCTTTGTAGTGGAAGTTACAGGTCAGTGAAATGCAGCTCAACACCTAATGAGACTCCAGTTGCTGCCTGGAGGATTCAGTGAGATTATGAATGTGGAACACAGCGCTGTGCCTGGCACCTTGTGGGCACTCAGTAAAGGGGTACTCTTAGAAATTGGTGGTCCTAATGAGGCTCGATATTCCTGGTTCTCTGGGAACCGAGGAATGCCCCGGTCCATTTTCCCTTGTTCACTTCTGTGTGAAGTCAACCGGCTGTTGGCCGACTCTGTTGGCCTCTCTCTCCCCACAATAGCCTGCTATCCATACTTCAGTCTAACTTCCTTAGACTGGAAAAGGTTATGGTGATATATGGTCCCTGGGGCTTTCCGATTTCTATTTGAAACAAACCTTTGGGAGTTTCAAGTCTTTCCAGGAGAAAATACCTATTATCTGAGACTCTGAGCTTTGGGCCTGGTATGACTGCTAATTGCCTATTTTGTTGTGGTGTCCTCTTTATGCAGGAATGCAATTGTCTTTGCTTGCTTATTGACTGTCTGTCTCACTAGACTGTAATTTTCTTGAAGGTAGGGACTGTCAGTCCCAGCTACTGTTAGATCTGTAGCTTCCAAACAGGGTTTAGCAAGTACTCTCTAAATGATTGATGAATTATTCCTTGTGTGAGAGGGTGACAGAAATATGTTTGAACTCATGCATCAGTAAGGTTGTGGTTCAAAAAGAAATTTCATGAAAGGTGAATTCTTTAGTTTAATATAAATTATGGATCATCCGTATCCCATCAGGCTTTTGATATACCAGGTTTATTATTTTAATAAATGGTAATAAAACTTTTTAATGGCCCTGCTATTTATCAGATACTGGGTTGAGCACTGTGGATACAGCAATGAGTAACATACAATACTGGTTCTAGTAATATAGTCTAATGGGGCTGTCACATGTAGCAACTGGTAACTACAATAGTGTAGGATAATACCTATATTAGAGGTATGTACCAATTGCTTTGGGGATATAGGATTAGGGAGGCGATTCTCGGAGAGCAGGACATGAAAAGGGCATGTCAAGGAACTCCTATCAAAGGAGGTGACACTTGAGCTGGTAGTTGAAGGATGAGTAGGAAGTTGCCAGGTAGTCATGAGTGGTGCTTTAGGCCTCTTCCTAAGTATATGGAGGCCTTTAGGGCAATACTTTAATTTTTATTACCCTTGCCTTGTTTCTCTTCAGTCCGGTCAGATTGCCCAAAATGAAAAATACCACCATCTCTCCATTCGCAATTCAGTTATGTCGTTCCTACTTGGAAGCAGCTAATGATCTCCTTTGAGTGGGCATTTTTTTATGTCACCCAGACTTGTTGGGACAACACAGTGAGCTCAGTTTTTCAGATAACCCAGCATGGGTGCCATCAGAGAGGCTGTAATCTCCTTGGGGACAACATAGATACACATATCCTTCTCATACAGTGTCTCATACAGTGTAGAAAGTGGTAAGTGTCACAGAGACATGGAAATAAAAGAGAAAGGAATTCCTTTTGGCATGAGCAGGACGGTCATTTATTTTTTATCTAGTGTGCACAGAAAGGGATTAATTGTAATTCTTGCTTAATGATACACCATCATCATTAGTCGATCATTCATGACTTTATCATTTATTCAGTACTCCCTATATGTGCTGAGCACTGTGCTAGGTCTCTTGGGAAGCTAATAATCTAGTGGGTAAGAAAATTACAGTAAAGGATGATCAGGGCTATGGTAGAGAAAATGTAAGATGCTATGGGAGCTTGCGGTCGAGGACTGAATCTTGTTTCAGGTTGCAGGGAAGGCCTCATGGAAAAAGTGCAATTTAAGCTGAGACCTTGCTAGCTGAAGGAAGGGAGGAGCCCATTCCCAAAGGAGACCTTCCCAAAGAGGGGAAGGTTCAGAGGGCAGCTTGGTGTAAGATCTGGAAGCTGTGCTTCTGGAGCACCATGACTAGTGGACCATGGTAAAGAGATGAGTTGGAGACTTGGGTAAGGCTTGCACTTTAAAACCTGAGGGAAATGGGAGATCACTGGAGGGTGTTTAGCAGGGAGGTGGTGTAGTCAGGCTTTGATCTAGTTTGGTTGTTGTGCCAAGAATAGAGCAGAGGTTGGGGTGAGGTGAGTGGAGGCAGGGACGTGTTAGGAGACTGATCAGGTGGAAGACATGATGATTCTCTGCACTGAAGTGGTAGCATTGGAGTTGGAGATGCCAAGTGGACACAGCGTGGTGATGAATTGATTTGGATCTTAGAGAATGATAATGACCAGGTTTCTGGTGTGGAGAACTTGATGGCAGTGCCTTCACTGAAGGGGGAGCTTCAGAAGGCAGACATGATTGCAGGAGAAAATAACGAATCCAGTTTTTGACTCATTGAGTTTGAGGTGCCTAAGGGACAGTCAAGTAGAAGTGTCATGAAGGGGTTTGGATTTTGGGGTCCGGAGATCTGGAAACAGGTCCTTGCTGGAGTTTTAGGAGTCACGTATAGGGATGGTGAATAATGCCAAATGGGTGGGATGACCAGGGGATAGCATGGAGTTGTTGGATTTTGCAAGGAGAACATCAAGCTTTAAGATTCGGGAAGAAAGGCCTTATGGAGGGGGTGACATTTGGAACCCAATTTGAGGGAAGGTTGGACTTTGGACATGTGTAGGAGGGAGGAAGTCTATACTGGGCCAGATCATGGAGGTGTGGGATGCCAGGCTAAGGTGTTCAGTCATGACCTAGAGGATTGAATACTGTACTGTCTTCCTCCAAAGTGGGAGGCTCAAATGAGATATTAATTGACATTTTGTGAACACTCACTGTGTGTCAGACACTGGTCTAAGCTTTTTATATATATCCCTCATCTAATCAGCCCAGCAATCAAGTAAGGTAGGTGCTACTGGCTTTGGTGCGGGATTGTGGCCTCACTTCCTGCCTATAGGAAAGGAGCATCTCTTAGCACTTCTGCCCCCATGCAAAGGTGACGGAAGGTATGGGGTAAGGGGGATAATGAAGCTTCTGCATCCTTTTGCTTACACTCTATCATTTGTCTTTCTACCTTAGAGCTTTGGGGAGCAGTCCCTTTTCTAGGAGCCTCTTGAAGGACTCACCATAGATGCAGGAAGACATTGGATGAGGACAGCACAGCTGAAGTGAGGCGTCTAAGGTAGACAATGGCTGTGGCCCTGGAATCGCAAGCCCAGGCGTCTCTGCAGCCAGAGCCTGAAGAACTCCTGATTGTGAAACTGGAAGAGGACTCATGGGGATCAGAATCCAAACTCCGGGAGAAGGACCGCGACTCTGTCTCCAGCCCAGAGGCCTCCCGCCGGCGCTTCAGGCAATTCCAATACAGGGATGCAGCTGGACCCCATGAGGCCTTCAGCCAGCTCTGGGCTCTTTGCTGTCGTTGGCTGAGGCCGGAGATCCGTCTCAAAGAGCAGATCCTGGAGCTGCTGGTGCTGGAGCAGTTCCTGACTATCTTGCCTAGGGAGGTCCAGACCTGGGTGCAGTCACGCCACCCTGAGAGTGGTGAGGAGGCTGTGGCCCTGGTGGAGGATTGGCACCGAGAGACCAGGACTGCAGGACAGCCGGTGAGACAGTCTCTTCCAAGGAGTGGGTCAGGCAAGGCAGTGGGGTTGTGACTAGGTTAATAATTGCCAAATTCACAATAAAAATAACAATAGTTATTGAGAACTGACACTTATTGACCACTACTGTATACCAGTGTTCTAAGTGCTTTACATGTGTTAACCTACTTAGTCCTGTCAACAATTTAATGAGATAGGTACTGTTATCCTGATTTTACCAGTGAGAAAACGGAGACAGAGAAAAGATAGGTAAGTTGCCCGGGTCTGAACAGCTGCTAGATGGTAGAGTCAGGATTTGAACTCAGGCATTCTAACTCTAAAGCTTGTATGCCTAACCACTACTCCAGACTGCCTCCCACTACCATATTCACAATATGATTAACTTGTGTTTTATACCTAACAAAACCTTTTTACATATGTGATCTCTCTGAGTGCTTATAGCAGTAATGTAGATAGACAGAAATAGTACTGTTGCCCCCATTTTATAGATTAAACTAAGAACCAAGAAGTTGGCCAGGAGTGGTGGCTCACACCTGTAATCGTAGCACTTTGGGAGGCTGAGGCAGGTGGATTGCTTGAGCTCAGGAGTTCAAGACCAGCCTGGGCAACATGGCGAAACCCTGTCTCTACAAACAGTGCAGATGAAACAAAACAAAATGCCAAGTGGCCCACAAAGGTCATCAGTGAGTAGACCAGAGCCTAAAGCCAAATCCTTAGGTTCCAAGGTCATTGTTCTTTCTACCGCATATCAGATGCCTCCTCTGCAAACCATGGGAATTAAAATACCTTTGAGCCATAAGGCTCAAATGAGATATTAATTGACATTTTGTGAGCACTCACTGTGTGTCAGATACTGGTCTAAGCTTTTTATATATGTCCCTCATCAACCCAGCAGTCCAGTAAGGTAGGTGCTATTATCATTGCCATTTGTCAAATGGGTAAACACAGATGGAGAGATCAGTAACTTATCTAACTTTATATAACTGTGTGATAGAGCTGAGGTAAGGGAAATGAAAGTATGGATTTAACATTTGCAGTTTCAACAATTTGCAAGTGACCACCGAAGGCCCATGATGTAATGCATAGTTTTGCTATGACACAAATTTTGAATCCTGCTTCAAAGCTGGTATATGTAGAACAGATCCTTTGGCTGGATCCAGAACCTTCATCTAAACATGACTGTTTTTCTCCACTTGTTATAGTTAGTAATTCTTGTGATATTTTACTTACCCACATTTTGCTGGGGGAAATTACAGGTTTGGGAACATATCCCTTGCAAATGGCAGGGGTTTTCTGTACATTTAAACTGTAAAGTTCTATACAGTGTGAGATTGGGGGAGCAAAGTTTAAGAACTGTGACTTTGTTCTTTGGATTCCTTTACAAACTGATTGAAGAGATAGGGAGAGTAATATATAAAGTTACAGAACTAAGTATAAGAGAGCGTGCCTTATTTTAGTATACCACCCCACCCCGCTATATTATTTCCTTTAAAGAAACCAGCTATTTGTCTTAAGTGGCAGTGAAGAAACAAATGGGAGTTTTAGGGCTTCAGAGTTGGAAGATAAAGAACTTGAGACCCAGAGATGAAAACTGATTTAAATCAGGGTCTTTATAATTCTTCATCTGTAAAATGAGAGGGTTGGACTAGACCAAAGGTTCACAAATTATGGCCCTGTGAGCTGACCAAAAGTTGAACTGCTTCTAAAATTGAGAAGAAAATAAGGTAATGGAATCTTCTCTATTATGTATTTTTGTTTTTACTGTGACTTTTTTTTTTTTTTATTTTTAAACTTTCCTACTTGCTCCTGAGTGCTCACAAATTTCAAAACAAATGGACAAGTAGCAGAGGAGCTTGTTTTTTTCAGGTGCAAATGTAGCTTACGATCTTACGTTGCAAGATATATAACTTAGTTACATTCTCTGCAAGTAAAATTTTTCAAGTCTTAATAACAGGATGAAATATAGTTATAATATTCGTCACAGTGAACCACCACCTGAAAAAGGTTGGTGCCTACAGGACTAAATGTCCCCTAAGATAGTTTCCTAAAAGGGATCTTTCAGCTCTGCTATTTTGTGATTGTTACCTTGTTTCTTCTGTCATCATCATCTTGTTGAATCCCCCTCTCCCTCAGATGCCCGCTCCATCAGGTGCACAGGGATTTTTTAAAAACAGGCTTTATTTTTTAGAGCAGTTTTAGGCTCACAGCAAAATTGAGGAGAAGGTACGGAGAGTTCACATCCCTCCCCCACAAACCTCCCTAACTATCAACATCCCTGCACCAGAGCAATGCATTTATTACCATTGATGAACCTACATCGATACATCAGTATCATCACTCAAAGTAGCAGTTTATGTTAGGGCTCTTAATGTTACTCATTCTGTATGTTTTGACAGAATGTATAACATTAAAAACCCTATTATAAACTGTATCTACCATTATAGTGACGTAGTAACATGTGTCTACCACTGTAGTGACATATAGAGTAGCTTCACTGCTGTAAAAACCCTCTGTGTTCTACCTGTTTATTCCTCCTTTCCCGCAACCCCTGGCAACACTGATCTTTTTACTGTCTCCATAGTTTTGCCTTTTAAAAAATGTTACATAGCTGGAATCATACAGTATATAGCCTTTTCAGATTGGCTTCTTTTACTTAGTAGTATACATTTAAATTTCTTCCATGTCTTTTCATGGCTTGTTAGCTCATTTCTCTTTAATGCTTGATAATATTCCGTTGTGTGGATGCACCACAGTTTATTTATCTACTCACCTACTGAAGGACCTCTTGGTTCCATCTAAGTTTTGGCAGTTATGTATGAAGCCGCTGCAAATATTCATATGCAGGTTTTTGTGTGGACATAGTTTTCAGTTCATTTGGGTAAATACTAAGGGACATGATTGCTGGATCATATAGTAAGAGTATGTTTACGTTTGTAAGAAATTGCCAAACTGTAGTCCAAAGTGGCTGTACCATTTTGCATTTTTACTAGCAATGAATGGGAGTTCTTGTTGCCCCACATCCTTGCCAGCATTTGGTGTTTCGGATGTTGGCCATTCTAGTAGGTAGATAGTGGTATTTTATTGTTGTTCGAATTTGCAATTCACTAATAACCTACCATGTTATACATGTTTTCATATGTTTACTTGCCATCTGTATATTTTCTTTGGTGAGGTGACCGTTCAAGTCTTGCCCATTTTTAAATTGGGTTGTTTGTCTTCTTACTGTTGAGTTTTAAGAGTTCTTTGTATGTTTGGGGTAACGGTCCTTTATCAGATGTGTGTTTTGCAAATATATTCTCCCAGTCTGTGGCTTGTCTTCTCATTCTCTTGACAGTATCTTTCATAGAGCAGAATTTTTTAATTTTAATGGAGTCCAGCTTATCAATTATTTCTTTCATGGATTGTGCCTTTGATTTTGTGTCTAAAAAGTCATTACTATACCTAACATTATCTCATTTTTCTCCTATATTTTAGGAATTTTGTAGTTTTTCATTTAACATTAAGGTCTGTGATCCATTTTGAGTTGATTTTTGTGAAGGATATAAGATTTTTTTTTTTTCATGTAATATCCAGTTTTAGTATCATTTTTTGAAAACATTATCTTTGATTCACTGTATTACCTTTACTCCTTTATCAAAATTCAGTCGACTGTCTTTATGTGGAACTATTTCTGGGGTCTCTATTCTGTTCCATTGATCACTTTATTCTTTTGCCAATACCACACTGTCTTGATTACTGTAGCTTTATGGTAAATCTTGAAGTCAGGTGTGTCAGTCCTTTGGTTTTTTTCCTTCTCCTTCAATATTGAGTTGGTTATTCCAGGTCTTTGCTTCTTCATATAAACTGCACATGGCCAGGTGCAGTGGCTCACACCTGTAATCGTAGCACTTTGAGAGGACAAAGCAGGCTAATTGCCTGAGCCCAGGAGTTTGAGAACAGCCTAGGTAACACGATGAAACCCCATTGCTATTGAAAAAAAAAAAAAAAAGCAAATGAACAAAAAAGACTTTACAGTTTGTTGATATCCACAGGATAAACTTCTGTGATTTTGACTGGGCGTTAAATCTGTAGATCAAATTGGGAAAAGCTGACATCTTGATGACAGTGAGCCTTTCTATCTGTGAACATGCAATATCGTTCCATTTATTTAGTTTTTCTTTGACGCCTTTCTTTTTTTCCACATGTAAATCTTCTACATATTTTCTTAGATTTATGCCTAAATACTTCATTTTTTTTTTTTTGGAGGAGAATGTAAATGTTATTATGCCTTTAATTTCAAATTCTACTTGTTTCATTGTTGGTATATAGGAAGGCGATTGACTTTTGCATATTTGCATATTTGTACCCTGCAACCTTGCTATAACTGCTTATTAGTTCCCAGAGGTTTTTTTTTGTTGATTCTTTCAGATTTTCTACATAGACAATCATGTCATTTGTTAACAAAGACAGTCTTTTTCATTCTTCCCAATCTACGTACCTTTTGTTTCCTTTCTTATCTTGTATTAGTCTGGACTTCCAGTATGAAGGAATAGTGAGAGAGAACATCCTTGTGTTTTTCCTGGTCTTAGTGCAAAAGCATTATGTTTCTTACCATTAAGTAGGATGTTAGCTGTAGGTTTTCTGTAGATGTCCTTTATCAAGTTGAGGAAGTTCCCCCCTATTCCTAGTTTGCCAAGTTTTTATCATGTGTATTGGATTTTGTCAAATGCTTTTTCTGCATCTGTTGATATAATATATGATCATGTGATTTTTCATTTTTTGTCTGTTGATGTGATGGGTTACGTTAACTGATTTTCAAATGTTGGACCAGGCTTGCATACCTGGGATAAATCCCACTTGGTTGTAGTGTGTAATTTCTTTTTTATACATTGTTGGATTTGATTTGCTAATATTTTGTTGAGGATTTTTGCATCGTTTTTTTTGTTTGTTTGTTTTTGAGATGGCATCTCGTTAGTTCTGTCGCCTAGGCTGGAGTGTAGTGGCATGATCTCAGCTCACTGCAACCTCTGCCTCCCAGGTTCAAGCGAGTCTCCTGCCTCAGCCACACGAGTAGCAGGGACTACAGGCACCCGCAACCACACCTGGCTGATTTTTGTGTTTTTAGTAGAGATGGGGTTTCACCATGTTGGCCAGGCTGGTCTCGAACTCCTGACTTTGTGATCTGCCCGCCTTGGCTCCCAAAGTGCTGGGATTATAGGTGTGAGCCACCGCACCTGGCCGATTTTTGCATCTTTGTTCATGATGAATATTGGTTTGTAGCTTTCTTGTCTTGTAAGTAATTTCTTTGGTTTTGGTATTAGGGTAAATGCTGGCTTTATAGAATAAATAAGGAAATATTCCCTCTGCTTCTATCTTCTGGAGGAGATAGTAGAGAATTGTTATAATTTCTTCCTTAAATGTTTGGTAGAATTCACCAGTAGACCCATTTGAGCTTGATGCTTTCTGTTTTGAAGGTTATTAATTATTCAGTCAATTTCCTTAATAGATATGGGCCTATTCAGATTGTTTATTTTTGTGTGAGTTTTGGCAGATGGGGTGGGTAAAGGAATTGGTCTTTTTCATCCAGGTTATCAAGTGTGTGGCCACAGATATTCCTTTATTAACCTTTATGTAGTTTATAATATTCTTTTATTATACTTTCATTGTCCATGGAATCTGTAGTGATATCTCTGTTTTCATTTCTGATATTAATAATTTGTCTTCTGTCTTCTTTTCTTTTTTATTTTTGAGACAGATTCTTGCTCTGTGACTCCGGCTGGAGTGTAGTGGTGGGACCTTGGCTCACTGCACCCTCCGCCTCCTGGGCTTAAGCAATCCTCCTGCCTCAGCCTCCCACGTAGCTGGGACTACAGGACCACACCACCAGGCCCAGCTAATTTTTGTATATTTTTTGTTGTTGTTGAGATGGGATTTCACCATGTTGCCCAAGCTGGTCTTGAACTCCTGGGTTCAAATGATCCACTGCCTTGGCCTTCCAGAGTGCTGGGATTACATGTGTGAGCCATCGTGCCTGGACTGTCTTTCTTCTTAGTCTGACTAGAGGCTTATTGATGTTATTAATCTTTTCAAAGAACTAGCTTTTGGTTTTGTTGATTTTCTGTATTGATTTCCGGTTTTAAATATCATTATTTCTGCTTTAATTTTTATTTCTTTTCTTCTGCTTACTTTGGATTTAATTTGCTCTTCTTTTTTCTAGGTCTTATGTTGGTGTACCTGTGTCCCTGGACTCTGACCTTTGCCAGTGCTTCCCAATTTTTTCCCCATCTGAGGTGGCACAGGATGCCTAGAGGGGGCTGCATTGGGTATTTCTCATCTTCCATGTGGAAGAGTAGAGGGAGCTGGAATCGCATATTTCTCTTCCGACAGTTAGGTTAGGCTTTGGTAAAACAGTTTCTGCTGAGGACAGGCATTACTAAGAAGAGCAGCGTGCCCTGGCATATTTCAAAATGGTTCCTTTTTCCTGCCATCTGCCATAAGCAAGAAGAGATTTTTCTCTGATATTAACTGTGAGGATCTGGTTGAACTCCTGGAGATAAAACTTATGAAAATGTGCCCCTGCTCAGTAATTAAGTGCCCTGGAGTTTTTACCTCTCAGAGTTGTCCGCACTGTCCTTCCAGCAGTTCGTCAATTACAGTTTAGGTTTTTCTCCCTGGCACTAGTTCCCACAGACGCTTCTGCTCTACTAAGTTGTGATTCTCTGATTCTACCTGTTTGTCTCTCCAATTTTGGGGAGAGTGGTTTGTGGCCTCACTTCTCTGACAGCTCTAAGAAGAGTTGTTGATTTTTCAGTTTGTTCAGCTTTTTACTTGTTACTATAGAGTCTAGAGTGGCAAATTCTAGACTCTACAGACTTCTTGGAAACTAGAAGTTTGACCTACTAATTTTTTGCCTTCTGGTTGTCACTTGAATCTACTTCTTTCTGTGTCCAAAACTACTATCCATGGAATCAGAGTCTTTGCTTAGGGATGGTAATGGTTGGAGGAACTGGGGTTGAGAGTAAAGATTGTTGTTGAATTTAGTCACACCGTTCCTCTGTAGATTATAATGATAACAAAGTGAATTTTTTTTAACATGACCATATAAGAAGATTGATTGATAAGCAGATGTTTTCTCCCTGTGAAGTCACACAGGACACTGGTGGATCTTCTTATTTGGAATGGCCCTTGATGCTCGTGGCCCATTCCTATATGTCTTCTCAATGGTAAAAATCCTTCTCTGTGAGTGGATTTGGATTTTCAGGCCAACCAAAAAAGTTTTACAGCTAAGTTTGGCAAACTCAGTAAGTTAATGAAGATAGTTGTTGTTATTTTGGTTCGAAAAAATAAGACTCAGAGCAGTATATCTAGTCATAAGTTTTTGTATACAAAAGAGGGAAGCTAAGAATACACATTTACATTTGCTTGTATCTAGAAAGAAACTCTAAAAGAATGAAGAACATGGATTTCCTGTGATGAGAAGAGGGGAAAAGAACAGGATCGACGGGATGGAGATGGATGGGGGTGGGGCATTTTCACTGAATATACCCCTGTATGTATTTTCTGTTTTTAAACCATGTGAGTCTATTATCTATTGAAAAAAAATTGAAATACATTTTTAAAAGTTAGGTGTTTTTATAAAGTATTGAGATTGTTATATTGTTGAGGTTTTACAGCCAGGATAACACCTTGACCTCTCTACCTCTGAACTTGGAACCAGCTGAGAAATAGAGATAAGAAATTAGCTGTATGATTGATGAAGTTGACTGGGTAATGTTATTTTAGTTGATTATTCCTTTTTGTTTTAAATATCTTCTCTATATCTCTGAGTACCTTTTTCTTTTTGCCTGAAATCCAACATTGAAATGAAAATTGCCACTTCCTTTTTCCTTTTGAGTTAGAGTGCCTTGTCTTTTGCGTGTCCTTCTAGTTTAAGATTAACAACACGTACTTTTATCTTATTTTAAAATTCCAGCTAATTTCTTTTTTTGAGACAAGATCTCACTCTGTTGTCCAGGCTGGAGTGCAGTGGCATGATCATAGCTTACTGTTACTTCAAACTTCTGGGCTCAAGTGATCCTTCTGCCTCAGGCTCCTGAGTAGTTGGGGGTACAGGCATGTGCCACCATACCTGGTTAATTTTATTTATTTATTTACTATAGAGGTGAGGGTCTTGCTGTGTTGCCCAGGCTGGTCTTGAACCCTTGGCGTCAAGTGATTCCCCTGCCTCAGCCTCCCAAAATGCTAGAATTACAGGCATGAGCCACTGCACCCAGTCTCCATCTATAATTCTTTGCCCTTTTTAAAATTTTTATTTTAAAAATAGCTTTGTCTTTCAGCAGAGATATTTAGAGCAATTGCATTTGGTGTTATGATTTTATCTTTTTTTCCTGTTTTTATGCTTCCCTTTGCCTTTTAATATGCAACTTGGTAACTTTTCTCTCTCTTTGATCACTTAAAAACTAAGCAACCTATTTTTGATGCTTATGGGTTATTTTGTAATGTTACACAAATTTTACATAATTTATCTCTGTGGATCAAAAATGTTTTAAACAGTGGCACTCTCATTGAAACACTTGGATAGCCACCGTGTGTTCAACAGACAGTTCTCATTTGGTGGTATAAATGCTGATCTACCTACCGAACTCACTCTGATGGCTTTCTCATCCTACTTCAAGTCATTTTGGATCTTAAAAGAGCCTGTTAGCCTCTGGACCACAGTTATACTCAAAATACCGAAGTGGATCTTACTGAATTGATGAGTGGGAATTTTGGCTATTTGTGTGTAGGAACTGGAATTGTATACAGAAGAGACCAGGCCCTTAAAGACAGGGGAAGAATCTCAGAGCTTCCAGCCGCAGCCAGTGGATCCCTGGCCTGAGGGACAGTCCCAGAAGAAGGGGGTGAAGAATACATGCCCTGACCTTCCCAATCATCTAAATGCCAAGATGGCACCACAGCCTTTGAAAGAGAGTGGTGAGTACAAGAATCTGAGAACATTAGGGAATGAGGCCTTCTGCAGGGGAGAGGAATGGGAGGTGAGGAAGGGTGCATGGGGAAGAAGGATGTGCAGAATTCAAGGCAAGGGATAGGCTGTAGTGTGGTGGGCACACTTACTGAGAAGTAAGCAAGCGTCGTAAAGAGGCTGTGGCTGTGGGTGATGCCAGCATGCCCCACTGTAGCTGGAGTCCTGCAGCAGGTGCAGGCTGGGACAGGAGTGGGTGGTGACCACAGGAGGTCAGGGCTGGCCTGACACATGGCACACCACTCACAGCAGCTTAGGAGCTACACACTCTAGAAGAGAAATAAAGGGGAAGTCTGCACTGGCCATAGGGATAGCCCCAGCTTGATCCAAGTGTGACTTTTGGAAAGCCAATCTCAGAGGGAGGTGATTTTTTGGGAATCAGAGCTTGGGTTTCAGAGACTTTTTCTTTTCCTCAGCTGTCCTCACTCCCCGAGTCCCTACTCTCCCAAAGATGGGGAGCGTTGGAGATTGGGAGGTGACAGCTGAGTCCCAGGTAAGCTGCTATTCGTTCTTCCTTTCCTGTCATTGCTGCTCCTGTGCTCTTGCCCACCCAGTGTTCCTCCTCTCTCTCCATGACCTCTACTCAGCAAAAGGGCATGAGGCCCAGGGTGTTAGCCTTTGCCCTTCACCCCCAGTCTGCTGCGCCCCAAACATCCCCAAACACATGTATGTACCAAACGGCCATCCTGCTCCTTATGATGCCAGCTTCACACATGGTATCCCTCTGTTCCCATCATCTTTCCTGGGGCCTGCTAGGGTTCCTAGGCTGTTGTCAAAGGTCAGTGATGTTTGGGGTCCTTGTCTTGTGCATCTCGTAGGAAGCCCTGGGCCCTGGCAAACATGCTGAGAAGGAGCTCTGTAAAGAACCCCCAGGAGACGACTGTGGGAACAGCGTGTACCTGGGTAAGGAGATGTGTCCTCTGAAGGTGATGTTGTCATGCTTCTGATACACTCAGTTCCCAAAGAGGGTTTTGCCACTCCTTTAAGAATCATGGCTCTGCAGTCTCTGGAATTTCAGACATAGGAAGAAGACTTGCCCTTTGTAGCCAGCACTCTCATGGCAGGGATGGAGGCTGCCTGGAGATGGGGTGGCAGGATGGCTTCCAAGAGCCTGCCCTCTCTGGGCATATTAACTTCCTTACCTCAGTCCATTCATCACAGACCAGGGGCCAGGCCTGGCCTGCTGTCTCGGAAATCTGATTTTTTTTCAGCATTGTAAATAGGATCTCTCTCTCAGGCAGACTTCAGTGAACTAAACCTATGAGACCAGTGAATTAAACCCAGAAGGAATAAATGTCACAGAGTCCAAAATACCTGAAGCCCATATAACCAGCACAGACTCCTTTCTCTGTGGGCACTCCTATGTGGCAAGTCAAATAATAGGGAGCCGTTTCCCTGTGGAGCCCGGGATCACTGTGCGGGGAGTTAGACACGTGAATAGCTGAAATAGAAGAGACTCTGATAGGCGTGACTCATGGTAAGTTTAGATACCGGAAGCTTACTGGCTACTTGCTTGACAGTGGAACCCCTTTTTACACATGGTATCTGAGGGAGATAGTGTTCAAATGAACAGACTTTGGGAAATGCTGAATTAGATTGTCCCTATGCCTTTCGAAACCCTTTTCATCTAGTTTTCTTCAAGTATTTATTTTAATTAGAGGCTTCCTATTTTGTTAGGGCTGGGAGCTGTTGGGATAGCAGTCCTTTAAACATAGCTAACTTTTAAAATTAAGGAAATTTATTTTCTCACATTATTAGAAGTCCTGAGGAGGACATGCTCCAACCACAGTACAGATTAGCTGAGCAATGTCCTAGTGGGTCTTTGTTCTTCTTTCTGTCTGCCATCCTCAGTGTTAGCTCCATATTAAAGCTGTTTTGTTTCATGGTCAAAAGATAGATGCTGGTGGTGGCAATGGATGCCTAGCAGGACAGAGACTTACTAACACACACACACACAGACACACACACACACACACACCCCCCTTTCCTCCAGCTGTGGAGTTCAGTCTGATTGGGCCAGTTTAGGTCATGTGCCCATCTGTGGACCAGTGAGTCACTCTTATATGATGTTTCATGTTTCATAACAACAACAACAACAAACAAATGAACCGAGCAAACAGGTCACTTAACATTTCTCATATGGTGGTCGTGTTACCTCTTCTCTCTCCCTATTCCTGCAGACATTTTATTGGATCAGCATGGGAATTTCTCGTCAGCCTCTTGCAAGGAAAAGATAGAAGTTTCAGGGAGATTTTGGACAAACATGCTGCTCAGCAGACTGTTTCTACTCTGTCATTTCTCTTCTTCCTTTTGTAGGAGTTCCAGTTTCAAAACCAAGTATCACCTCTGAGAAAGAGCAAGGACCAGAGTTTTGGGGTCTAAGTCTTACAAATTCTGGGAAAAGGAGCGCTGCAGCTTACAGCCCGGATAATGAGCCAGCTCAGGCATTGACCTGGAGGGATTCAAGAGCCTGGGAGGAACAATACCAGTGGGATGTGGAGGACATGAAGGTGTCAGGTGTTCACTGGGGCTATGAGGAGACCAAGACTTTCCTGGCAATTTTGAGCGAGTCTCCTTTCTCTGAAAAGCTCCGGACTTGTCACCAGAATCGCCAGGTATATCGGGCCATAGCAGAGCGGCTAAGGGCAAGGGGCTTCCTGCGGACACTGGAGCAATGTCGCTACAGGGTCAAAAACCTCCTACGGAATTACCGGAAAGCCAAGAGCAGCCGCCCACCAGGTACCTGCCCCTTCTATGAGGAGCTGGAGGCCCTGGTCAGGGCTCGGACAGCCATCAGAGCCACAGATGGCCCAGGAGAGGCCTTGGCACTCCCCAGGCTCGGGGATAGTGATGCAGAGATGGATGAGCAGGAGGAAGGGGGCTGGGAGCCTGAAGAAATGGCAGAAGACTGTAACGGTGCTGGCCTGGTCACTGATGAGTCTACCCAGGCGCCCAGGATTGCAGGGGCCCCAGCCCTGTTCCAGAGCCGTATTGGTAAGAACATCGGGGTTTAGTCAGATTCAGATTCCAACCCTCCTACCAGCTAGACTGCTATTCCCTGAGGTCAGGGCACAGGCTGCAAGTCTGGATTGAAGCCACTAGAGTGAAGAGCTACGTTCTTTAGGTCATCCTCAAACTCCAACTCTCTTTTCCCGTGACCAAGTCTCTTTGCAAAAGTCTTCTTAGTTATAGAAGGAAACATTTTTAAAGCCTTAAGGGGCCTCAAAGAGTGAATCTGGCATTTCCAAAAGTGTGTCACTGGTAGTATGGGATGGTCATCGACGTTACATGAATGAACTTGAAATTCTTGTATTTATATATTTCTCTTAATTTGTATGAGTGCATCAACCTGTGATTTCACAGATAGCAAATTTAGGTAAAGAGTGATGGCGAGTGAAATATTGAACAGATAATGGCAGAAATCATGACAGCGTAGACTTGAATAATCAATGTCTGGGAAACACCCAGTCATTGTAAAGGTGCAAACATGGAAGTCCAAGAGATGAGGCGTCTTATAGACACACAGGTAGGAGCAGAGCCCGGATCAGAGCCCGTGGCTCCTGCCTGCCGGTTTTACATGGTTGCCTTCCTGGGCTACATCACTTTCCTGCGGAGGAGCTGAGACTAGACCACCTCCTTTTCATTCCTCTGCAAAGGAGGAAAGTGTGTCCTCATTTGGCCTTTCTTGCAGGACTATTTGAAATTCATTTATGTCTCTAATCTTTAGGAATTCTTAGTTTTCATGTTTTATTAAAAGGAGAATTTATGGCCAGGTGCTCACGCCTGTAATCCCAGCACTTTGGGAGGCTGAGGCGGGCAGATCATGAGGTCAGGAAATCAAGACTATCCTGGACAACATGGTGAAACCCCTTCTCTACTAAAAAAAAATACAAAAATTAGCTGGGTGTGGTGGCGCACGTCTGTAATCCCCAGCTACTCGGGAGGCTGAGGCAGGAGAATTGCTTGAACCCGGGAGGTGGAGATTGCAGTGAGCCGAGATTGCATCACTGCACTCTACCCTGGCGACAAAGTGAGACTCCATCTCAAAAAAAAAAAAAAAAAAAAAAAGAATTTATAAAATAAATAGAGGACAGGTATTGAGTGAATATGGGGAAAATCACATGCATCCCGGTTACAGGCTTTTCCCTGAACTAATCAGCAAAGCCAGGGGCATGGGATCACCTGATATAACTGATATAATATGACTACCCAAGTCCTCACCTTCAGCCAAGACTTGAAGTGTTAATAGAATCTCTTAGAAGAGAGTGAGGGTGGGAAGCTCTGGCTGACTGTCCTAGCATGCCCCTGAGAAGCAAAGGGATATTGCCCAGGTACCTGGATAGTTTCTGACATGCCTATGTTCTAGGTATTTCGAAGGGCAGGTGACTCTATTCTCTGATGACCTAGGCACATCTCATTAAGTCTCACAGTTCTCAACTCTTCACTCCTGACAGCAGGTGTGCACTGGGGCTATGAGGAGACCAAGGCCTTCCTGGCAATTCTCAGTGAGTCCCCATTCTCGGAAAAGCTTCGCACCTGTCACCAGAACAGCCAGGTGTACCGGGCCATCGCAGAGCGGCTGTGTGCTCTGGGCTTCCTGCGGACACTGGAGCAGTGTCGCTACAGATTCAAAAACCTCCTTCGAAGCTACCGGAAAGCCAAGAGCAGCCACCCACCAGGGACGTGTCCTTTCTATGAGGAACTGGACTCACTGATGAGGGCTCGGACTGCAGTCAGGTCCATGGGGACCGTCCGGGAGGCTGCAGGTCTCCCTAGGTGTGGGCAGAGTAGTGCTGAGACTGATGCCCAGGAGGCCTGGGGTGAGGTGGCCAATGAAGATGCTGTCAAACCTCCAACCTTGTGTCCTAAAGCCCCAGACATGGGTAAGCCTGGAGTAACTGGATGTTCTCAAAATCTGTGGGCATGTGGAGAGAGTGAGGAAGCCAGGCTCATTACCTTTTGTCTCTTAACTAAAAGAGAGAATGGTATTGAATAGGAAAAAGATATCAGATTATCCAGTCTTAAGCTTTGTGTGAATCAGTCAGTCAGTCAGTCAGTCATTCTATCTTTTACTAGGTGTATCTGGGCAGTTAGAGACTTTATTCAATCCAGTATGACACAGGATATATGGAATGTACTAGAAGGAGGAGGTGTTCATGATTGAGTACTAAGATAGAGGAGTTTTCCAGGGAAACAGGTTGTCTATGGCTGCTGGGCTGAGCCCCATGGCTCACTTGGTGAGGTCACCATGTCCCAGAGTCCATTCCTCAGCTCTGCAGGACAGAAATATTTGTATGTACCAAAACTTGATCAATTTCATGTTAGTCACATTTATAAGATGTGAGATATAAGATATAAGAATCAAATTCATGTTAGCGAAATTCACAGATGTACGATACAGACACACACCCACACACACATATGCTAACTAATGAATGAAGAAAAACTGCATTTCTGTCCATTTTTTCAGGTTTTGAAATGAGGCATGAGGATGAAGACCAGATTTCAGAGCAGGACATTTTTGAGGATTTGCCTGGAGCCTTATCAAAATGTCCTACAGAAGCTGTTTGCCAGCCTCTTGACTGGGGAGAAGACAGTGAAAATGAAAATGAAGATGAAGGGCAGTGGGGAAATCCTTCACAGGAACGGTGGCAAGAAAGTTCTTCTGAAGAGGACTTAGAAAAACTTATTGACCATCAAGGCCTGTACCTTGCGGAGAAATCCTACAAGTGTGACACATGCATGAAGAGCTTCAGTCGGAGCTCCCACTTCATCGCCCACCAGCGAATCCACACAGGTGAGAAGCCCTACAAATGCCTTGAATGTGGAAAAAACTTTAGTGACCGCTCTAACCTCAATACCCATCAGAGAATCCACACTGGAGAGAAGCCCTATAAATGCCTTGAATGTGGGAAAAGCTTTAGTGACCACTCTAATCTCATCACTCACCAGAGAATCCACACGGGGGAAAAGCCCTATAAATGTGGAGAATGTTGGAAAAGCTTCAACCAGAGCTCAAACCTTCTGAAACATCAGAGAATCCACTTGGGAGGAAATCCTGACCAGTGTAGTGAGCCCGGGGGAGACTTTGCCCAAAGCCCATCTTTTAGTGCTCACTGGAGGAATTCTACAGAGGAGACGTCTCCTGAACAACCTCAAAGTATCAGTAAGGACTTGAATTCTCCTGGACCACACAGCACAAACTCAGGGGAGAAACTTTATCAGTGTTCTGAATGTGGAAGAAGCTTCTCTAAGAGCTCTGCCCTCATTAGTCACCAAAGAATCCATACAGGAGAGAAACCATATGAATGTGCCGAATGTGGGAAAAGCTTCAGTAAGAGCTCCACCCTGGCCAACCACCAGCGCACCCACACTGGAGAGAAGCCGTATAAATGTGTGGACTGTGGGAAGTGCTTCAGTGAGCGCTCCAAGCTCATTACACACCAGAGAGTACACACAGGAGAGAAGCCCTACAAATGCCTTGAGTGTGGAAAATTCTTCCGTGACCGTTCTAACCTCATTACTCACCAGAGGATTCATACGGGAGAGAAGCCGTATAAGTGCAGAGAGTGTGGGAAATGCTTTAACCAGAGCTCCAGTCTTATTATTCACCAGAGAATCCACACAGGGGAGAAACCCTACAAGTGCACAGAGTGTGGCAAAGACTTCAACAACAGTTCCCACTTCAGTGCTCACCGGAGAACCCATGCAGGAGGGAAGGCATCGTAGGGGACAGTTTTCCCAACAACAAAAGAGGACTCAGTGTGTATATCTTATATCATAAGATGTATGCTAGAGAGAAACTTTCCAATATTTAAGCTTGGTGTGTACCCAGGGAAGTTATCTAGGTATAAACCAGGTAATTTGGAAGTGAATTACAAATACTAAGGATCCAGATTTGAAGGCACTTTGCTTAAGTGTAATTTGTTTTTCTTCTGTAAAGACCCACACGGAATCCTCAGACTGTCCTTGTATTTGCTGTCATGTAAGAACTATGTCAGTATTTGAGCCAAACTGGCAACTTAGGAGATTAGAGTTAAATCAGTGGTCTTGAGCAGTGATTCCAAGCTCTCACTGTGCCTTCACACTGTCCATGTGTAATCCAGCCCATCAGCAGTGGTTCTCGTACTTTCTTAGTGGGGGCATATCCTTGGGAGAATGTTGAGATTCTGGTGAGAGAGGAGTTGGCCTAGAGCAGGCCACTGTGAGCTCAGCACAGAGTAGGAAGAACGGTGACATCGTTACAGAATCATTAATAGCAGCAATGGCTGGTGTTTATTGAGCTGTTGCTCTTTGGCAAGCTCTGTGCTAAGAACTTTGTATACATCATCTCATTTAATCTTCACAACAGCCCCAGGAGATAACTACTAACTTTCTCCCTATTTCCTAGAGGCTTGGAAAATTAAGTAACTTGCACTGGTCACACATCTGTAAGTGGGAGAGGCAGGATTCAACAGATCTGTCTGTCTTGAGTCTGTCGTGCTCTTATTGCTATAATGAGTTCCTATTCATGTTAGGTAGCTTAGGGGCCAGAATCTCAATGCACTTTGTAGACACACTTCCTGTTATAAAATTTCTACATTTTGAATTTTTTAAACAAATATGGAAATTGAGAATCCCTAAGGATTAAAGGACTTGGGATATTCAGAATTGGTGAAATGATTTGAGCAAGGATGAGCTATTATCAAAATACTTGATGCGAGTTTCCATCTTCTCAATAATATGGGTGAGAGATATAGGTGGGTTGAGATTGGGAAAAATATGTGGCCTAAGTAATTTTTCTTCCAATAAGATACTGCTTTGGCTAAGGAAATGGGATCTAAGAATTCTCTTTTTTCTCAGGGGTCAGTCCTGCTTCTTGCCACACTTGACTGATTGTAGGTTAACCCTAACAGAAGCCTGGGGTCCCTATATTTTTGCCTGTCTGGCCTTTCCTTTTGGCAAGCAGAAGCTTTATTCTTGGTCCCCATGCCAGGACTGAGGTGGAAGGTGCTGGTATGTATGGTTCTTGGTCCCCATGCCAGGACTGAGGTGGAAGGTGCTGGTATGTATGGTCATCTACTGAGAGGGCCTTGACCACTGTTCTGCGTTCCAGGTTCTTGGCACAATTTTACCCTGAGCCATCCTGTCCCAGGCCTGCCCAGGGCTTTCTGTATGTTGGCCCTTCACACTCGCCTCCCACATGGACAGGCTAAGTAAGAAAGGTTCACATAGGATGGTTTTAGCATTTGCAGCACTTTGGCCTCCAGAGTTTCTCCTTAGAAGGGTTTAAAACTGTTGACCAAGGACTTCAGTTTCCACAGGACTTTAAAGGAAAATCCCCCTCCTGCCATCCTCTTATGACACTGGGATGTGTTCATAACCTGCTTGTTTCATGGACTGGGGAAGTACCTATCAGATAGTGGATGTGAAGCAGCCTTGAAGAATGGAGCTTTTATTAACACACAAGGAAACCGGTGGAGAGATTTGCTACTCCCACAGAGTGAGATCCCTTCTTAACCCCTTCCCCTGCTTCAGAACCTCCCTTCCCAAGAACCAGCCCCACTAGGATCACCGTCAACTCCCTCCCAGTTTACCTTTCCTGGCCCACATTCTCTCTGCGAGGCAGGGGTCATGGGATGAACCCTGGGTAGAAGTTAGCAGATGTCAGTAACTGCAGTAATACAGTGATATTGTCTAATAATGTGAGCTGAGAGGAAGGATCCTGAGGTGAGGGAGAGGGAAGGAGTTCCAGGGAAAGGCACTGTTGTATGGAATAGCATGGATTCAGGGTGGGGGTGTATGATGGGAGGTTGGAAACAGGGAGCTGGTATTAGAGGGGTGCTGGGGCAAGGTCACTGAGTACCTCACATATAAATGGAGTGTCAACACCAGGCCTGGGGCAGTGTTCAGATGTGCATGGTTGAAATCTGACAGCTGAATGGAACTTGGATATGCTGCAATTAGGATGGCCTGTTGGGACACTGTTGTGATATTTCAGCTAAAGGCTAGGGTCTGAACTAGAGCAGTGGTGACACTGAGGAGGAGGGAATGAATGGGAGAGATCTCAGAGGCAGATGGGAGGACATCAGAGGAAAGCTAGAATGCCTTTGGTGACAGGGTGGAGCATGTCCTTATTCAGAATTGGGAGCACAAGGAGGAAAGGCTGATAGAGCAGGAGGGCAGAAGATGAGAAGTTTAGTTTTGGATGTCTAGAACTTGAGGTGCGTAAGGGAAATCATGGTGATGCTATGCATTTGGATGTCGGCTAGAAGCTAGGGGAGAGGCTAGGACTAGAGATCTGTGTATGCAGAGTAGTTAAACTAATGAGAAAGGAAGAATTTCAGATTCAAGTATTGGGCCTAGGACAGAGCCACTTGATAGTGCTGAATGGAGAGGAAGATGGCCCTCAAAGGAGATCTAGACCACTCCCTACTCCCACCCCCCACCATCATTTTTTGGATCCTGTCTTCCTTGTAACTGACCCCTGAATTCTTCATTGTAGCCCCGAGTTTTCTGGAGCGCTCACTGTGGAAGCCAGGCTGAGCTCTGTGTGAATGTGAAGTGATAATCCTCTCCACTTGGTTACCCTTTCCCCTGGACTTGGTAGTGTGTTAGTGTCTCATGTCTTTAGGGAAGAGTTTTGATGTTTATTATCTGCCATTCTTGTCTCATGAATCTTAGGTGAGGTTCAGTCATGAAAGCAAGGCCGGTGTGGGCCAGGAGAGAAAATGGCTCAGGTGGTCCCTTCCTCCTTGTCTTACCCGACTTCCTTTGGAAGAAGCACTCTTTCGGGGGGCCGCAGTGTTCCAGGCCTGACCCTCCAGTAGGTCTGTACTGCTCACATAAACTGACATCTGGTTTTACCCACCCTGAGCTTTGCTAGTGTGAGTCTGCTCTTGGGAGTCTGTAGAATGGGTGGACAGTTTCTCAGCCTTCCTGGCCACAGGTCAGACCCTGGTTATGGAAAACCAAACCAGCAAATGCTGCCCTGGGAGGGTGTTACATCCTGTGAGCTACTAAAGGAAGGATTGTCTCCCCAGATGGCTGCCTCCCCTTGATTTCTTCACCTTCCACCCCAAGAAGGGCATTGGCTCCTCTGAAGTGATCAAAAGGTACTTAAAAGACCTTAGGCCTTCCATTCCCCAGACTCCCAGGAGGCAGCAGACCCAAAGGTAGGGGCAGGGAAAGGAGGGGCCAAGACTTTTTCAGATACTCGTTTTTTCTTAGGCCTTGACCTCAGCAGCTGAACTAATGGTCATGGCTGCCTCAGCCTTATTGTCCCCTGTGGCCTCCTCCCAGAAGCAGTGTAAAGCAGCTAGGCTCCCTCCATGCTAAATAGTATAGTCAGGAGCTCTGGCTAGTCCTTCCTGCTTCATCTTGTTCTGGGGCCCCCGGTGGGGGTAGCTGTCTGCTTTCGGGCTGCAGAAAAGAATTGAGTCACTTTCTGAAGGGGAGTAACACCCTTTGGGGACAGGGGTGCAGTTTTGAAGTAATGAAGGCAGTGATGTCTGGAGTGGGTGTGGGCGTTGCAGGTGAACTTGCCTCACCCAGGCTCTTCTGGGTCTTTGTACTCCAGAGTTCTGTCCTGGGTTTGCTTCTTCATTCACTCTGTTTCCCTTTCTTTTCCTTTCTTTCTCTCTTTTCTTCTATGTAGATGCTAATGACTTCCAGATCTATCTCCTGCTGTGGCCTCTCCTCTTAGGAGCCCAGCTGTCTGCCAACCAGCTGTGTTTGGGTGACTCCTGGGCCTCTCAAAGCCCCCGTGTCTACCATCACCCATCATGGGGCTCTTGGCCTACCCATCCAGCACATGCATTGATGTACACACTCAGTGGCTCCCACCCAGCCTCCCCTGCACATGCCTGGAGAGACCTACCCATTCAGACTCATCCTGGACTCGGTTCTGCCAATACTTTCTTCCTTCTAAGAGCATTTCCAGTTGGGCTGGGGTTACCCAGCTGCCTGAGAGGTCTCTTTCTGAATGGAGTCAATATCTAAAGTCAAAATTAATCATTCAAAATATTCCCTTACCTCATTTTTTTCTTTTTTTTTTTTTGGAGATATGGGGGTCTTATGTTGCCCAGGCTGATCTTGATCCTCCCAGCTCAGCCTCCCAAAGCTCCCCTGACCTCAGTTTTGATCCCATCCTCCATTTGGACATCCCTCAGCTCCCCCACCTGTTAATAGCAAACACCAATCTCAAGCCCCTGCCCCAGTCTGCTACAAGGGGTTAGTGCTCCACGCAGCAGGAGCTCAGGGAAGGCTTTGCAGGAGAGGAGGGATTTGAAATGGGCCTGGAGGCCTGGGATGGTAGACACTGGAGCCTTTTGCCCCACAGCTCCTGGCTATTTCTTCACACTCCCAGCATCAGTATTACTACTACCATGTCTTTAGCATCATTTTGCCCTCCCTCTGACTTTCAGCAAGCCTGCACTTACCTCCAAATAAATGCCTGTTTTTGGGGGGCAAAGGCACGTTCCTTCCTTACCTTATTGTTGCTTCCCCCACCCCATGCTGCAGCTGAGCGGGTGACCTTTCTCCTCACCTCCGTGTGCTGCATCTCTCACCTGGTCTCTGTTAGGAACCCTACAGGAACCTGCACCCCGGTAACCCCATTTTATGCTGCTTGGAGAAAGAGACAGAGAGTTTGAGAGGTCCCAGTTCTTTTCGGTGTGTGTTCGGTTCCCCCACTCCTCAAAGCTGAGAGCTTCTTTGTTTTAAGAGCCACTTGGTTAAGTCAAGAGCATTAGATGAGTAAAAAGAAGAATCCAATTAGATAATTATACCTATACATGCTATAGTCGACTAGGGATTCACATAGACATTGATTTTCTAATCAGGGCACTGTTGGTGATTCTTTCTGTGTGTAAAGATGCTTCTGATCATGCCTGTCATTACATGACACTTACTTCTAAAGTCACTTTTTTTTTTTTCACATTTTCATTGTAGAAAAATATCCCATAATTGTGCCACCTTGAGGGTGAGGGCCACAGGATGGGGGATTAGGAAAACAAGAGTCACTCTCTAAGCTGGTCCTGGAGCAGCATTACGGATGTGTTGGAGCCCAAGCAGGAGAGGAGCCACAGGCCAAGGCTGGCAGAGCTGTGATCACTAGAATCTCAAGTCGCTGGGGCTCACGGAGCCCTAACTTGGTGGCAGGTGACAAATGTGGAACAGAGGAGAAAGGAGTCTTCTCCCTCCACATAGAACACACTTGGCTTCAGTGCTTTGTGGGGATTCATGGACCACAGAGAAGCTTCCACATATTTATAGGCACTGGGGACCAGCAGGAAGTGGTGGTGAGACACTTTGCAATCCTCCACTGCAGACTTCACCCAGGGGGCCAGAGCAGGAGAGAATCCCTCTGTGGACAGCACTTGAGGGGAAAGGGCTTGTTCATGACCGTGTATGGAGGTCACCAACCCAACCCTGTTCCTGAAGTTTCCAGAAACAGATGGAGAGGTAAGTCCAGCTAGGCTGGAGCACCAGCATCAGTAGTAGGGGCAGGAGCTCGTGCTAAACCTGGCTGGTGTGTCCTAGAGAAACAGGAAACACAGGTGTCATCTCGCAGGACTTTTCTCAACCAACTAATTTCTTATGGAAATGAGACATTTGTGATTGATTTTAATTTCCTCTTGGGGACTGTGAAATTAAAATGGATGAAATTTTGTCCACCAGGAGCCTCAGGGATTTAATATCCAATTCTAAAACCTGAACAGGCCTTTTTGTTTTGCAATTTGTGGACCAATCCCTGGCTTCATTTTATTTGGCTTTGCTT